ATGTGTGTTTGTGTACCTGCATATACCTGCATATGTTTCAATATACTTACCCTTCAGTCAGGATTTTGTTTGAGTTTTGGACCAAACTCTTGCTATTCAATTCCATTCTTATAAAGATCTCCATCTTGAAAATCCTAATCTCCCATGGCCTCAGCTTCAGTGCCGTTTTTGGTTCTTATTTATTCCTTTTGTACAGTTGCCCTTCAGAGAGACTGCATGACTTCAAAGGTAGAATCAAAGGCTAGTACCAGAACTTGGCTGGACTAATTAATTAGGCTATTTTAATGCTCTAAATACTTGATTTACAAAGACTTTCTTGTTGCCCCTTTCCTGACTACACTTTCTAGGAGGATGCCTTAATTTCCTGGTTAGCTCTCCGTTCCTGTTTAGCCCTGATTACTCTCTCATTTTCCCTCATCCTGACTGATCTTAATTCTTTCAAAGAACTGGCTCATGTTATTACAGTAATTTTTATTGACTGGTCAGCAGTAGCTTGCTGTCCTTCTCCACACCAAGTTATAACTGTTTACACAATTTAATAAACCATTGTGAAATCATGGACTTCAATATTTCCATGAGGAAGGTATCTCACTTTCTTGGCCTTCCTCCTTCCTATCTTTTTTTTTATTGCCCCACACCATTGAAGAGGTAAAGACCTACCTCTGATAGAGTAGTGTCTCACAGTTTTGGTAGATACTGTCTGCTAATGGTTCAATTTAACTTGGCCTTTAATCCCTGTAAAAATTTATTTGCTAAGAAACCTTCATATCTGGCAGGCCTTTTTTTTGTTGTTGTTTTTTACAATCACTTTTTAGCCATACAGTTTTCCTTTATATAATTTCTATCAGATTTGCAGCTTATTCTGTTGGTAAGAATAGTTCTGCAGACAGTGTATTTGGACTTAGATGTAACCCAATTTTCAATTCATTGGCAGTTCTGAAAATCATCTTTAAAGATCAAGTAATTGAAATTAACCGGTTTTCTTAACTGTGTTTTGGCAAATTGAAAAGACAAACTTCATGCTGAAATAAGCATTCAGCTAATGCTGCCAAATCTGAAAAAAAAAAACCATTTCATTTTAGAGATTTCCTTCAGAAATAAGCAAATTCTGAATGTGTCATATGTATGCAAAATATAAATTTTCTTTATAAAAATCTGTGATAAAATATTTGAATATTTCAGAAGACTGGTTCTGTTTTCCTTCTCTTTTGTAACAGTTTCATAAAACTTGCATGCATGTTTCAGCTGACTTCAGTCTGTGTGGCTGGATAAAACTTCAGCCAAAAACTTTGCTCAATGTAAATTAGATTTCTACTCTTCTTTTTCTAAAACCATCCATCATTTTTGGCATGGTCTTAGCTAGTACAAACATTCTTCTGAGAATCTTGTGACTACTTCTCGAATTGTTTCTTGTCTGTTATGAGTGATTAGGAAGGAGTATCTCCAAATCACGGAATTTTAGACACTTGCAGCTGTTGCATCTTTCATCAAAATTTTCCTCTCTCTTTGTCAAGTTTGGATATTGATAAATACCAGGATGTCAAAACACAAGTTATCTCACCTTACTTGGCACTTGCATTCTATTTGCTTTAGAAATTGCAGGTTTGTTGTCCTTTGAAATTCAGTCAAATTGCATGGCAGTTCTCAACAACTGATTAGTACCTTTTCTTAAGGAATGAAAATTTAATTTGTGGTGTATTCAAAGCCGTTTATTCCCAGAATATGTACAGTAGAATTCTGCACTAATAATTGTATTTTCTGTACAAACTATACTATCTTGGATTTTTATCTTGCACTTTAGTGTTCTGAGTTACAGGATAGCCTGTGATCTTCCAAAATTTTTTTTTTTTTTTTTTTTTTTTTTTTTTACACAGAATCACAGAATCACAGAATCACCCGGGTTGGAAGGGACCTCAAGGATCATGTAGTTCCAACCCCCCTGCCTAGCAGGGCCACCAAACACACACATTCAGATCAGGTTGCCCAGGACCCCGTCCAACCTGGCCTTGAACACGTCCAAGGACGGGGCATCCACAACCTCCCTGGGCAGCCCGTTCCAGGGCCTAACCACTCTCCTTGTAAAGAACTTCCCCCTAACATCCAACCTAAATCTTCCCTCCTTCAACTTGGATCCATTTCCCCTAGTCCTGCTATTGTCAGCCCTTTTGAAGAGTTTACTCCCCTCCTGGGTGTAGGTTCCCTTCAGGTATTGATAGGCTGCAATGAGGTCACCCCGCAGCCTTCTCTTCTCCAGGCTGAACAAGCCCAACTCCCTCAGCCTGTCCTCATAGGGGAGGTGCTCCAGCCCCCTGATCATCTTAGTTGCCCTCCTCTGGACCCTTTCCAAAATCTCAATGTCTTTCTTGTACTGAGGGCTCCACACCTGGACACAGTACTCCAGATGGGGCCTCACAAGAGCCGAGTAGAGAGGGACAATCACCTCCCTGTCCCTGCTGACCACCCCTCTCCTGATGGAGCCCAGGATCCCATTTGCCTTTCGAGCTGCCAGAGCGCACTGCTGGCTCATGTTCAGTCTCTCGTCCATCAGGACCCCCAGGTCCTTCTCTGCAGGGCTGCTCTCCAGGACCACTCCTCCCAGCCTGTACGGGTGCCTGGGGTTCTTCCGGCCCAAATGCAAAACCTTTTTATTTTAAGTTTATTTCAAATTTTATTAAATTTTAAGTTTATTTCAAAATAATCATGTAGGAGATTGAGTAGAATTTGGATTGATTCTTATAATAAAAAATCAGGAAACATTGAACCAGGATGACAGTTATGTCAGTTTCTGACCATATGAATAAGGAATCCAGTTGTAACTATAATTATTCATCTGTAAGGCTTATCTGGACATTAAATCTAGGAAAACATACAATAATATTACTTTTACTTGAAAACAGATATCCCTTTTTCCATCAGTTAACTCAAAATTGATTTCTGATAGGAACATTCCTTAGGATATACATTGAGGTGGTTAGAAAAGGGAGAACAGAGATTTGAGAGGCAAAGCAATCAATTTTGTCTCAAATTATAGTATTCACAAACACAGCTCACTTCCACTGAACAGTTCC